AGCCTAAGAGGTATGGTATTCATAGCATAAAAGATTTACACTGCTCCACTGTTGAAGATAAAGTTATTAGGAGCAAACAAAGAAACAAGCCTTGTAACACAATACATTTTTCCCCCTTCTTAAAGTACCTCTTTCCTTCCTATCCGCCAACATTTCCAACCACAGTCAAATTTCTTTAAATTTTCTCTGCAGTATATGGGCATAGTTCTTTTATTCAGTTAATAGGCTGTTCACTCAGGGAGGATGAAGTGTTATTTCATGATTCGGGATATTCAATAATGTCAGAGTCTTCTAGCACAGAATCCTTATTTCTCTTCTTGAGAAATCAGTTTAGTGAGCAGTTTCCACAAGAGACTTGGGTAGGACAACAGCAGTTGCTGCTAGGTTTTGCATTTAACCTTATATCATACAACCCTAGAGAAAAATATCTGAGGTAAATTCTTCATGCATTATTTTTTCATTAGTTTCTTTGTCTTCTGATTTCACACTTTTCATTGTCTCAGGGGGCAGGAGGATAGGCCAAGCTTGGCTTTAGCCTGTGACAGCGAGCTGGAGGGTGAACAACCCCTAGGTAAATGAGCACAGAGAAACAAAATAAGTAAAGCACTAGACAACTTGCAATTTAGTGAAATTAAATGCCTACCCACTGTGCCCTGACAGAAAAATCTGGCAAGAGCAGTGTTATGGAGCTGGACATCCCCGCAGGCTGAGTTTACAAAGAGAATTAGTCAGAAGACCCGCTACCAGCAGCATGCCCACTTTATTGAACATTCAAGACAACAACTCATTGCAAATGAGTAGGAAAAGATGGAATGAAAAATCCCTGCCAATCCCTGTTAAAGGGATGCATGCATTTCACTGTTTTCTCAGGTGATGCTTTCGGGGAGCAGGTGATGGGTTACTTGCACATTGAAGACGGCTCCTGGATAAAATGGAGTAAGTCAGGCGGAAATAATAGGGAGCCAAGCAGAGACATATATCTGACAGCATTTCTTCCACTTTATTTAGCATGGTACTCTTTCACCATTTTCAGTGCATTGCAGACTTGCACTGTTTCCTATCACACTGTACCTTTAAAAGGATGCACATGCAGGGACTCACTCTAGTGCATACAGAGTTTTCAAGGATGCTCTTCCTCCCCCTCTTCTGACTGACAGTCTGGCAAAATACACAGAAGACAGGGACAGTGGGTGGAATTATCGCTTTTTTTTTTTTCTCCTCAAAAGGCTATGTCCTATCAGTTGAAGCCCTATTATAAGACAGTGCTGCACAGTCATTGTTGTATTCTGCTGTGTTGGATGTTGTTTGCTGAGTATGGCAGTTGTTACTGATTTATCTGGGAGCAGAAACACGTTGTAGACTTGTTAAACAGAAATTGTTTAACCATGGAAACTCCAGAAACAGGCAGAGCCCACAGAAACCTTTCCTTTCCTATTCAAAGGATTGTTAACCAGCTTTCTATGTGTTCAAATAAAACAGTTTCTTCTCTACCTGGTCTCTGTGTGAGGGGCCACAACATTAACTTTTGGGCTATTCTTACCATTCTTTGGGAAAAAGAAAGAGTAACATGTAGTGCTTATGTAATAATTATAAAATAAAGCCTGATCCAAAGGGATTCCCATTAATTTCTGGAGACTTTTTATATGAGTTTCTACTCCTGGCATGAACCTTTTCAAACAGAATAACCCAAATACATTTGTGTGCACACTGTTTCTCTCCCAGGTGTGTTTTCGGCAGCTGGGTACACAAGGCTTACTCACAGCTGGCCAGTACAGATGTCAGCACATGAACAAGGAAAGCATGCTCCCATGCTGGTCATGGCAATAGCAATTTCTTGTCTTGGTCTTCTGATTTCAAGAGCCACAGGTGTGTGGGTCATCAGTATCTCTGGTTAGTTCAAACTACTGGGAACTAACCCTTATTTCATTTTCAGGATGACAACAGACAAACTGGAGAGAGTGCAGAAAAGTGCAACTCAGTTCCTGTGGAAAAGCGTTTAGGATGCCCATGCATCCATAGGTAGCATAAAGGTAGGACGTTGGCAATTGTATGAAAGATACCTCCTCCGCGCCTCTTATGTGTACACATGCAGCCTGAGTTCAGATACTGTATCTTAAATTGTACTTGGAAATGCCCAGGAATGAGTAGGATGTTTAGCTCCTGTTGCCTATCAGTTAATTTCTCACTCAAAATTACTGTGGATGAAAAAACAAAGCAACTTATTGTGCAGAACTCCCCTTGACTTCAGCTGAAGTCCTATTTGCATGTGTGCCGAACAGCTTGAGGAAATGGTCTCCAAGGTTTCATGCTGTGAGCAGTAGATTCAGCATCTCGACTGGCCTCTGCATTTCGATGATTCTGTTACAGGAAGGTTTTTCTCCTGGAAGACTTTGAACAGACATAAAGCACAGTTTCAGTCTCAAGTTCCTGCATCAGCCCAGAAGTAAATTGGGAGAGGCAGGTGACCAAGCACATCTGTGTGTTTAGAAGAAAAGTGTTGTTTAGAAGCTCTCACAAAAATGTGAAAGAAAACAAAATATAAATAGGCTTCTGTAATTTATGAGCAGATTGCATGATGAATTTCAGTAGCCAAGAGTAAAAATTACCTTTCTCTCCCAAGAACTTCTACTTAGATCTGGTAATGACATTATTGATAAGCTAATTGTACCATTACTAAATGCCACCCTGTGTGTGCCTCCTTGGGTGGGAAGCAGTATATCTCACATTTTTACTTTTTCTTCAGATACTTCTCTTTGCAGAAAATCATGTTACTAATCTGTCTTCTTGTTAGCTTTTGCTCTCCTTTTGCTAAACTGAAGAAGGAAAAATACATACTCCTGTGGCAAACAACAGACAGACAGAGAAAAATATCAAAGGAGATGAATGAGGTTCCATCACAGAAAAAAAATTTAAGAAAAAGTTAGAGATGACAATAATGGGCATGGTGTAATCTCGTAAACTTCAGGGAACCCGACCAGATAATCCAACTTGCCCTTTCTGTCTTTGCAATCTTCCAATTACTATCTACCATCAGGCTACACAGAAAATTTCTACTGATGGTGACAGAACTTCTAGCCAGATCTCAAAGAAAGGGGTGCAACCAAGTGATTCTAGGATGTAACCCCTTAAAGTGATTTATTCCTTAAGCACGTCATCGTCTTGGATCACAGTCTTGACCTTAAACTTGTGCTTATGTTATACTTTAAAATTATCCTCAGTTTGGTTTGGTTTGTTGTCCTGACATAAAAGCCTAAATCCTAGTGAGTTTGACATGTTGTAGGTTAAGATAAGTAGCTTAGAAAACACTTAAACAAGATTTGGAGGAAGAGTTATTTTTTGTGACTGTAAATTAGAAATAAATATAAAAATATGACATACTAAAACCCTAATAATGAAATTGTGTTGCATAACTAAATTTCCTTCTCAGATAAGTTCTACAACACCATAAACATATGTCACTGTTAATAGCCACTTATAATAGAAACATCAAGAATTATTTAGCTATAGTGCAATTTCAGTTCTCTTAAATAGTTGTTCATTTCACAGTTTACTTGGCTAAAATATGATCTGCTATTATGCTCCTTTTTTGATTTTTTATTCGGTCTCTAAGCAGTTGTTTGAATGGTAGTGGGAGTAGTGATCTGTCTTTGGTACTGTCTAGATGCTCTTTCACCTACTAAATAAGCAAGGAATTATTTTAACATCCAGCTTAATGTAGCTGCTTAAACAAAACCGACACCTTGATCTTTACACCTGCATTTCTGTGCCTGTTGTTAAAAGAGACTTATAAACCAGATATCTTCCTAAATGAATTTTATTCTAGACCTTTGCTCTCTATTCCATGAGTTTATTTAAATAGAGATTGAAAAATTCTGCTTAAACTATATGCAAATCCTTCTAAACCGGGCCCTTTATATACATGCATTCCCTTTTATGTGAACAGCACTTTGTTAACGGTTCAATAATTAAGAGAGTTTACATTTTAAAGACTTCCATTTTTAATTGGCTGAATATTAATCACAGATCAGTTTCAGTTCTATTGTGATATGCAAATTATTGATGTCTCAGCTGCATTTGTTTTCAGGTATCAGTCTATCCGCATAATGCAAAATAAAATTCTGCAATTATTTCAATTACATGCAGTCAGCCTTTGGAGCAAGCTACTTATTTCATTTCTGTAAATGAAGAAAGCAGTTGCTGTTTTCCATTCCCTGATGTTTACTGCCCAGAACTAGCACTCACAACTGCTATGTGTGCAATACATAAACAGTTTTCTAACCGAATTATGTTACCATTCATGGTAACGGACAAGCAGTTGAACTCCCCTTGCAAGATTTCATTTGGATAACTGACTCTTCCGCCTCGGAAAGAGGTGTCACCTTGTTTGGGGGTACTCATTACCATTTGAAAGTATATTATGAAAGGTAAACACGAGTTCTTAATTAGCAGAATCTGTTTTGCACAAGCGCATAACATTAGAGGATTTTTTTCATCAGACTGCAGTTGTTACCTAAGGAGAGGAGGAATTTCACCTAACCACAAAGAATGAGATACACAAATAGCTGTGTTGTCTTAAGAACGGGTCGGGTATGCCTCCTCACCGCAATTTTGTTCCATGATTGCCATGCACATTAAATGCAGCAAATGTTACCATCCTGCCCACTCAGTTTCCACCTCTACTTTTGTTTCAAGCGGGGGGAGGGAGATCGTCAGAAAAGATGGGGGGAGTCCTTTCTTTTCTTCCCTTTCCTTCCCCGCTCCGCTTTTCCCAGCCGCGGTGCTAAGCGGCGCGCACCCAGGCGCTGGGCGGGTGAGCGGGGGCGGGACGGCCTCGTCCCGGCTGTGCCCCGGACTGCACTTGTAGCTCCTGCGCGCCGCCCATGGCAGCCCCGCGGCGCCCGTGCATCGCCCCGGGAAAGGTAACGGCGGCGCGGGGCGCCTCCAGGCGTGCGGGAGAGGCTTTCGCGGTTGCGATGCGCTGGGATTGCTCCCCCGGAGCGGCGCCTCCTTCCCCTCCAAAGCAGCGCCCGTGCGCTTGGTGCGTGCGTGCATATGTGTGTGCGAGTGTGCGTGTGGCGAAGGGGAGGGGGCTCTCTCTGCGTGCAAGGGGTGGGCGAGAGCAGTGCGATGGGAGCGGGTGCCCGTCTGCAGAGGGATCCTCTCCCCGCATGTGTACGGGGGACCGCTGTGTCGGGGCAGGGCTCAGCGAGGCGGTTGCTGCATGCGGCGGAGCCCGCCGGCGTACTGCAGCGCCGGGTTTCGCCTC